GTGCCAGGAGAGGTTTCTAGGGCTCTGAGCAGGCTGCTAATTATGATGTTATACTCTTATTCACAGGCCCACAGCTCAAGTTCAGAAAGGGCTCCAATTGTTAGGGGGCCACCACTTTCTGCCAGGTTCAGAAACATGAAAAAATCCCACTCTCCAGGCCCCTCCACGCCAAAAAGTTGACCTAGGGTAACTGCCCTGATCTGTGACCCATGACAGGAGTTCTTTCCAGGGCCCGTCCACTTGCAGCTTTAATGTTCTCTCTGCTCAGACTTCAGTGATCCTGGAGCCAGAGAAATCTCTGCTCATACCCTGCGGTCCCAAGTTTACTGATCAAAGCAGATGCTGAAGGTAGATCTATGGAGTGCCCAAAGGTTCTCTGATATGATACTTTCTCCCCACTGCCCCAGGGAGGTCTCTGATGGCCTTTCTCATCTGCCGGTCGGCACTCCGAAGGGCAGGTTCACCCATTTTTGTTATTTTTCCCTTTGGGTAACTGCAATGCCCCTTTATCCTTTCTAATCCTACTCCCCTGATTTTAGTGTAGTTTGAATTAATGAGCTGTTCAGAGCACCAGAATCTCCATTTCAAACTTTTGCACCTAGTTTTTCAGGCACTAAGATGCTAGAGTGAACTAGCGTAGGCACTACAAAAGACACACCATTTTTCTGCATATCACAGGTTAATGAGTCTTCCTCTAATCTTGATGCCATGTTCTTCATGCAGTCCAGATTTCTGGATTATTTGTTCAGCATGCAGACTGAATAAGTTTCGTGAAAGGACACAACCCTGACATACACCTTTCTTGATTTTAAACTCTGCAGTATTCCTTTGTTCTATTGAACAATTGCCTTTTCTTCTATGTACAGGTTCCATACAAGCACAATTTAAGTGTTCTGAATTCTCATTCTTCACAATGTTATCCATAAATTGTTATGATCCACACAGCTGAATGTCTTTGCATAGTCAATATAACACAGGTAAACATCTTTCTGGTATTCTCTGCTTTCAGCCAAGGTCTATCTGATAGTCAGCAATGATATCCCCCATTTCTTGTCCTCTTCTAGGAGCTCTGGTGGCATAGTGCCTAAGGCATTTGACTACTAACCAGAAGGTTGGAGGTTCAAATCTACCAGCCATCCCTCAGAAGGCAGATTGGGCAATCTATTTCTGTCATAATACCACCTCGGAAACTTAAGGAGGGGTCACTATAAGTCACATCTGACTCGATGGGAGTGAGTTTGT